CCTGCACTCAGTGGGAAAGGGAATCTTCGGTTCCTCCATCTCGATCTCAGCACTATCGCTGGTGCTCAAACCGCAGGGAAGAAATTTTTGGAACTCGAATCAAGAGCCGATATCTTAGGTGAGTAACTCCGGTCGCGAATCTTCTCACCAACTGACAATGGTTCATAGTGAACAACGCAGCACTGTAGGCGTCATCTTCCCAATATCGAGCATGCCTCTTACATATATTCAGGCTGAGTCACCCTTATACGAAGACCTCGGATGGCTTGGAGGATACAATCGCCGTCAAGTAAGTTGAACTGCATTTTGCTAGTTTGAGCGTTAATATCATACAGTCATTTCGCTACTTTCACATTTACCCGCACTTTGCTTCCGCTCCTCATATCGACATCGAAAGAACCGACGTCGGACGTACGGGTCGTCACGGTATTTCTCATCGCATTTCATTTTTCTATCAAATTGACGTCAAGTACCCGAAATAGGTTTCGTCCAACATCCACCCTCAGGCTCCATCAGGGGGACGATTCTTGACGGCAGCCCAAATCAACGAAACTCTGACGTATCCCGGGTTCACGAACTCTGTTATTGGACGCTATAGGCGTTATGGTGACTTCGTTCTCCAATTTCCGTTTCGTTTCTTTTGACGATTGATTGACCAGCTCGCTCAAAGCTTGCAAACATCGTTTTTGCGAAAGGTCTTCAGCAAGAATTCGACGCCGCGTCCTCCTCCGCCATTTCCATGTCCGTCGATCCGGGTGGTGTCGCTACGGAGACTGTTTTAGAGAACATGCGCACCGTTCCTTTAATTGGGCCTCTGATGCGGTCCATGACCGCCAATTTCGCCCTAACCCCCCTCGACGGAGCGTCGACAGCCTTGTTTACCGCCACTTCTCCCGAGGTAAGAAAGAAAGAACGTGAATTCAAGGGCGCGTATATTGTGCCATTTGGGAAGATTGCGGAACCAAGCAAGGACGGCAAAGACGCCGAGTTAGCGGCCAAGTTTTGGCAGGCTAGCGTTGATATTACGACACAAATTCTTGAGGGGAAGAAGTTCGAGTAGACATCGTTTTTATTATACCTCAATTTATTTCCTGCGTTACATCTACATCTACAGGACGGTTTTTCCCGGGCTCTGGTGCAGGTATGTACGTATGTACGTATGACGGTGGTATCATCGCATGGTATCAATCCTCAGTGCTCCCGTACGAGAGGTATTAACCTACTTTCAACAGCCGAGGCTGCCGACGAATTCCAATGAATAGAGGGAGATATGAATCGTGGAACACACTTGCATGACAATGATTATCTGTGCTATGAAGCTCAAGGTCAAGTCCTAACCAAACGCATTCCCGAATAATCTCCAACACAATGAAGCTGAGCATCACCATGATCCTGATCTCGTTCATCGCTGCTGCGCTTGCGATGGTACGTCCTGTCTCTTTTTCCTCATTGTATGCCCTGCGCTCACTGGGCCCGGCGCGCACAGTCCACTGGCGAGCTGTCCCAAGCGGAGTTGCGGACTTCCATGCGTAGGTTGCGGATTTATATGTAGTTTTCGCGGTTGACGAAGTGCCCTGGGCTGGGCTGCCTCCCCTAGACGGTCGATCGGCCTGAGTCGGTGGAGGAACGCTGTCGTGGATTTGATCTGCAGGGACTTGCACGTATCGTAGGCAGGACGAGGACTGCAAAATGATTTCGTGTGCGACCACGGAGGCCGGGATTTCACCATGCGATGAGATTGTGTGCTCTTTAGGGAAGATGTCCCAGGCGTAGTTGGACCCGAAACTTGAGTGCATCAGCAATATGGGCACAGGATCCCGGTTATAAATCAACCCCGAGGTGAACGGCCGGTTCGCCGATTCCTTCTGGCTCGTCGTAGCTTCCCTGCAAATGGTTCGTCTCTGGTCCTTAGCCCTCTTGGAGAGTCGGCTGCGGGAATGTCGTAACGGGTTCCATAATTTCTAGAGCTGCTGCCATCCTCCGTTTCGGCTAAAACGCCTTCACTTTACGCAACACCACATCATGTATTCATTTGAAGTCATTTATTCCCCGTTGCAGTTAACTTTCTGCTCGAGATCAAAAAATATACCTGAGGTTGAACAAGCCTGGAACACTCGAAGCGACCAGTGTTTTGATTTCCACCAACACCAAAAGAAAGTACCCTATCGTATTCTCACAGCTACGCTTAACCAGGACTAGCCGATGTTGCCTTGACGAAAATACGCGGCGGCTCGGAAATCTCACTGCCGATCTGGTTCTTGGCAGGGTCAACGCGAAGGCAGAGGTCTCCTGAGTCGCACGAACATGGTTGAAACTTGGAATTACTGAGTGTGCACCAGTTCCAACCTCTGAATGGCAACCGCCGAGTGAATGTACTGTCACGTGGGTTTCGTTCCGAATCCTAATGGGTTTTTGGGTTCTTGCCGTTTAGCGCCTCAGCCGAGCGGGCCGCAACCCTGAGCGCTAAGTCCTGGCACGAAATATAAGCCCGGTTCAAAAGAAAAAAAAAGTGTACTGGGTTCTTCCTTACCCGATGTCCCTCGGACATGTCGTGCCCCTGCCAGTTGATCTTCCACCTGTGACCCCGCTGAACGTCCCTCGCCGTAGGACGCTGTGCACAGACAAGGTCTTACCATCACCTGCGGATAACGCAGCAGCACCAGGCCTCTCTCGTTTCGCGTCCCACTCGCAGCCAACACGTCGGAATGACGTCGGGTCCGGTGCGCCCACAAAATTACGCCCCTTGCCTCGAATACCAACGCATCACGCTTCCAACTCCGCATCCCCTACTCCCCGTCGGCAAACCTCGCGGATGTCTTTGCGCCCTCTACCTTGTATCCCAGAACCAGTTGTCCCCGTGTCTGCAACTCCACCCAACCTTTTACCTCTTTCACCACCCGTCGCTCAATCTGACACACGCTTACCGCCCCCTTTTACCCTTCCGCCACCGTATCAGTTCGCACCTGTACTCCAAACACCGCGAGATGCGTTGGAACGGCCAGCGTTTCCCGGTCCGCCCACACATGTCGTATGGGAGGCGCCATGCTCGGAGAATACAGCGCGTCAGATGCGCAGGTCAAAGCTTAGTCGCCATCTCGACTTTTCAGTACAGCTTGGATTATCCCTCGATCGACGGGACAAGGGCGATTCCCCCGACGATATTCTGGAGTCAGACCTCCCCTCCCAGACACTCGTGGCCGGTGGCAAATTGTCAGAATTGAATGACGACGATTTCGATGCCTCCACTGCGGATGATGACGGAGATGGGTACTCCGTTGTGTTGCGGCAAGGACAGACTGTGGGGACAATTCAAATGAACAGATATTCAAGAAAGTGGATTCGGGAGAAGGGCGGAGAGCGGTGGGTTGAGGATAATCGCGCAGATATTCTTCGTCGTCTCCGGGAGCTTTAGAGGTTTCCACTTGCTACCGAAGAGATTAGATTCGCACTGCGTCGATAGAGAGATGAACGAGGCGGAATTATAGAGACGACACGCAGGAAATCATTCCGGAGAGCAGGTGTTTGCGCTGTGCAAAGTTGAACGAGGGAAGGACAACAAGTCAACTCAAAAGATTCGAAATGGGCAAGAAACGCGCTCAGGTCTGCCGCATTCAGTTGAAGTTGCAAATATCCCCGGGCCATGTCATTGTCCTGAAACCGATTCCTGAAGAGTCTAAATCTTACCGGCTCCGCGCGAGAATGTGAGATGATATCCGGCTCAGGCTACCCCGGCTGGGTTTCACCGAACTGTGATGCATTGGAATAGACATACGTGTCCTCGCATGGTTCAAAGAATCCAGCGCCAGGTTGAGGGCGAGAGGAGCATGGATAACCAACTCGGACAACTGCGACTATGGGAATGTAGTGGTGAGGATATCGTCCAATTCGTACTTAGTCCATGGTTCGTGCGAAGCTGAATCCACAAGAGTCGCAAACAAGGGAACAGGGAACATTGCGAGAGTTTGCAAGTATCTGACGGATAAACGGGGCAGCTGTGTAACTGGTTTATTGAGAGAGAAGAAACGGATTCTGCTTTGTCATCCGGATCAGTCGGGAAACATCGGAGTGGCGGTCATGCAATCGGAACTTGAAAGCCCGAGATGCCGCACAGTGTTAAATTTGAGACAATCCCCGTCGCATGATGGTTTTCTATAGTCATTTTTTCCCTCTCTTGTCTGCATAGTTTGAACGGGTTCAATCGCGCGGGGGAATCAAAGTGGGTAAGCGGACACGGCACACCGAATGTGATGAAGGCCAGTCCAGATGTTTATTTGCTTCCGGCGTCTCCCCGCGTCCGTATCCGCAGGATACTCTTTTCCCTCCCTTCATGGCTACTTACATAACTTTCTGGGCAGACCAAAATGCCCCGTTGAATTCTGCGTGAACTACGCTATTCCATGTCCAAGCGGGTCCATAACTCACATTGCACCGGATTTCCGATATCCCCAAAATTCAGGCAGGGGCCGGGATACCTTTGCTTTCTGGTTCACGACCCGTTCTTTCGATAGGTGGTTATTGGGCCGCAGAATGGAGGGGTACAGCGGACGTGGTGCACGGTGCACCGCTGCGAAGCCTGCAAGCTCCTGAATTGCATACAGCAGTTGAACGGGGTTCGACTCCCCGCGTCCGCATTTTGCATTATACCACCAATCTTTTTCATCTCTTACTCGTTGTTCCCTTGGTTTCAATAATGTATCGAGTATATTCAGGTTCGAAGAGTTAGTGGAGTTTTGTGAGGTTACTGTAGTTCCGCGGCTTGTCGACGAAGCGTGAGGACGACAAACACACTCTGCCCCGAGAATGGAGGTGGGAAGGCGGTGTCCGGCGCACCACTACCACGCACGTCGTGGAATTCATGCAGGTGAGGGGCCGAATGTGGGTCGACGCCCCGCTTCCGCATTATGCATCTTCTCGCTCTTCCTTTTTTTTCATCATTTACTGGTTGCTGCGTATAGCTTCAATGTATCGAGTATATGCAGGGTCAAAATGGGGTATGTCGAGCGGACGTGGTGCACGGTGCACCGCTGCGAGCAATTTGTGAGTGTTGTCGTATTTAATACAGCAGCCGAACAGGGTTCGACTCCCTGCGTCCGCATAGCTGAGGCTCCCGCCCATTTTTTTTCATCGTCTACTAGTTGCTGCGTGTATGACGGTTTCGATGATCCAGGCTCAAATTGAACTCAGAAGGTGGACGTGGTGCACGGCGCACCGCTGCCATGCGTGCCGCAAGAATCAAGACCATACCAGAGTCGCTAGCTGGCGAGTTTGACTCCCTCTGTCCGCATTACTTGGGTTTCCACCAATTTTTTGCCATATTCGGCAAGCTTACAAAATGCGCTGAAACGGGTATGGGGGTCGCATATAAAATTTATAATAAGAATATACGAAGTGGGCCCACTTCCGGTGGCACCACTTTACTTTACTTCATTCCGCACGCACTTAAATAGCATCGGAACTTGCGTTTCCCTTCTTTCCCTCCCATCTTAGCATCTATTCATCTATCTTCTCCATTAATCCCCCGCTCCATGCGTTCAACCGACCGTAACAGAAGAGACTTTTGTTATTCCATCACACAAGACCGCCGCAATGTACTGCGCAACGTCAACATAGAAGACCACGGCCCTCGCTGTATCAGGAATAGGCTCTCATGAATGATGGAAGGCAACGAACACGCTGCACTCCTTCTTCAAATAGACTCGAAGAATTCCGACAGGAGCGGAGAAGAAGGCCGCACAGCCCCTTTCTGACAGGGCGCATGCGTTCGAAATGGACTAATGTCAGCGCCAGGGCTTTCTGTTCCCACCAACAAATTATTTCAAGTCGGTAGCTACCTTCCAGTGCAAAACTGGACGGCAACTTGCAATTTTTCTGAATCCACAACGAAGCAACGAAGCTCGGAAGCTCCCCGGGTAAGATCCGTGATGTGATTCCTGCCCCGCAACCCCGCATTCAATTGAGTCTCTCGAAATCACATGGCACATGCCAACATGCCAGTCACAAGCTGTCACAAGTCGATCGGCGTTTCCTCCTTTTTGTCTTTGTCTTTTGTCCTCTTGTCCCATTGCCTAGTCATTCAGAGTCGGTCCAATTGTCTGCACCGATTTCTATGGCCATCCAGCACAATCAAAATGGTGAGTGCAAACTCTCCCATCTAACTCGCGAGAATGCGCATCCTACTCCCACCGATATCGATATCATCGCATTCACGCCCACCTCGTCCCCTAGCTGCGATCCCAGAGGAGGCGCCGGATTACTACGAGGTCGCGCTGCCAGTGGGTCACGAAAATGGGTACGAATACGAAGAAGAATACACCCTTGACCTCGGCTCAGGCCTCACCGAGTCTGCATGCCCCACACCTACGCCGTCCTACTTCAAGCATCCTTCAAATCCATCGACATCCCCATCGACCATGCGGCATAGGAGCATACAGAGACAGAGGGAGAAGGAGGCAGAACGCGATTGTGGGATTTGGTGCGTCCCTCCGGTTCATTTATACGACGTGCTAAAATCGGCTGGAAACGCACACAGCTTTGCACCTGCCACCTCCCCCATCCGCACCCTCTGCTGCGCTCACCTCTTCTGCGCGGAACACATCGCGCAGTGGCTCCTCGGCCCCGCTGCGGATGGCCGCTGCCCCGCGTGCCGGGCAGAGATCGGCTTGGATGGGAAAGGAATATTGGCGCTCGGCCGTCCCGCCCTCTTCTTAATAGTCCCGCGCGCACCCCCGCCGAGCCGCTCGGCGTCCCCGGCGCCTTCCTTCAGTTCCGACTCCGCCCTGTCATCCTCTTCTTATGCCTCCTCTTATGCATCGTACCCAACCTCTCCTTCCTACTCAGATGCGGGCTCCCCCACCTCATCGGAATCAGAAGAGGAAGACTCAACGGATTACTCCCTCCCCGCGCTCCTCCGCGCCCGCGCGCTCCAGACGCGGCGGCATACCGCGCATCCCTTCTCCTCCGTGCTCGGGGTAAGAGGCGCGATGGCGAGTGTGATGAGAGTTGTTGGGTGGATTGTCGTTGTTGGGGTACTTGCTGGGCGCGGGAGGTGGGTTTAGAATACGAAAACGAGGAGAAGTAGCGCAGACTCGACGCTGCACCTACCGTCCCCCGACTACCGTCACACGTCGCCAGAGAGGGCACCTATACCGCTATTCTAGGCCGCGCCGTGTTGCTGCTCTGGAGCTGTTCATTTTATTTTTTTCTCTCTGCGTTCCACCGTCTTCATTGCATGTTGTACGTATCCACTCACGACTCTCCATCCGCATCTGTTGTAGATCAGCTGTTGTACCACCACCACTTACGATCTTCTTATGACAATTTTTACGACATTCACGAACTGTCTGCCACCACGAATTTTCCGTCGATAGGGTTGCACTCCAAATTCCTTCCGCTTATGGCAGCAATACCCCTGGTCCGGCTTTCGACGAATCTGAAGCCTAGGATGGCACGTTCCGGTTGGGTTAATTCTCTATGAATTTTCTCAGTGTAAGTCACGGTCTACAGTCTGGGATTCCTTGGAATGCGGCCGCCCAGCTCACCGCGGATTGAGGCTGACGGAATGATTGTACCATTTCGACCGGATGTTCACTTGTGACTCTTCAAGTTCATCTGACATATTTGCCAATTTTTCAATTCAGCGGCGGCTGTGACCAGTGACTGAAAATCCGGTCGAAATGGTACAGGATAGCAAACCCAATGAATTCTCGCCGTCGCTGATGGGAAGTACCCAATTGGTTGCCGGCTGTACGCCGGGGTAACCAAGCACATCAGCATCCTGGCAATCCTTGTCGGCCCACGCCGGCTCTTCAGCTTGCGTAAATCAGCTCTTCCACCAAGCGGCGCGGATGTGATAGAAAGCTTAGTGAGTTGAACGCAGATCCAGTTGAATCTGCAGGCTGGATTATAAAATGACCTCGCGGATCACAAATGCACCGCTGCATGTGTGTGGAAGACTCCTCCAGGCACGTTCTTCGAACGTCAGTGCGGTACCCGATTTTCTATTATATTCTGTATTAACCCTAAGTACTTGTACGTAAAGACCGTTAACGGAGAAAAAAAGGAATGTGTGCCAGGGACGACTCAAACTGTCCCTCTAATAAACTCTGGTGCCCGTCCTGGACTAGATAGGAGGACTATATTGACATCCTCCACTGCCTTGATGTCCTTCTCCTCGATCCCCGTGAACACGTCGTGTAATCCACCCGCTGCAGCCAATAAATGCACAACGTTGAAGGGGTCAAAAGGTTCCATTGCGGGCTCCCCACAGTGTTGCGCCACGGCCGAGAGAACGATGAAAATGGTGGTGAGGGCGACAAGCGTCCCGGGGAGTAGCACCCAGAAAGTAGTCAGGGAGGCGGGTAGCCAACCCGCGGTATCGGTGTAAAACGTTCCTATGGCTTCCGTTGTGATGTTAGAGGGCAAACCGTCTGGGAAGGTCGTGGCGGAGAGACAAGCGCGGAAGACCTAGGAACTTGTGTCAGAACAGTAATACGAAAGTGGTAAATTTCCTTACAGTGCCGCTATACTCGATGACTGCAGTGATGTACTGGGCCTTCAAGACGATGAGCCAAAAAGTAGTACAACCCCTAGACACCACGTACCGTGAAAGACAATACATCAGCATCCTGATAATTATCGAGGTCCGCTTCTCGGAGTAAAGAGTTCAGCTGATCACCCATGATGTTGGAGTCCATGGCTTGGGAGAAAAAAAGCATATTTCCGATGGTATTCATGGCGGAAAGACTAGCGGGTCCATCAACAACAGCGTCGGTCGGTTGGAGTGTTTCGGTCTCGATAGTACCGGAGAATACGTCGGCGTCCGTGTAATTCACCATCACCTGGGATATCTTTGGAGAGACTGTGCAGACAGTGGTTTTCATAAAGTTGTACCGGCCGGCAGACTGGAAAATGAGCGCTGGCAAGGCGTCAGTGGCATCATTCTCGATATCTTAGCCACGTACTGTAGTTTCCTTCGGACTCGCAAGCAACCATCAAAATGTAGCTTGCGTTGGCTGGTGTCCCGGCAGTATATCCATAGGTGAAATTGACTGTATGAAAACATTAACCCAGGCACTCAAATAGTGGGGGCCAACCTTACGTCGAGGATTATCACCGACCGCACAGTCTGAGGTCAGCTGGGTATAGGTGACGTTGCGAGATTGCACTCCAGTGGACCAGGTCTCGACCGTGTCCGTCTGTAGATTTACACCTGTGTCTGAAAGGTCCTGGAATTCACAGTGTACATTGGCTGTAAATGCTGTCTCGCCCATTAGCCGTTCTCTCTCGATTCTGGCTCTGGCAGTGAGGGCTCACCCTGCTGCTTCATAACGTAGTACTGGGACACGCCTATCGGAGGGTCAACTATAGTTTGAAGCGTTCCTGGTATTGACGTATTCCCCCCGAACCATGCGCGCGCGGAGGTGACGTCTCGAGTCAGGCTTAGGATGCCCGCTGCAGAACTTTGAACTCGGGGAGAGGAAGAATAGATGGAGCGTACCAGTGCTGGGATCGAACGTCTGATCCATCACGGTGATCGACGCCGGAAGAAAAGTGGCGCCCTTGACTGCCGCATATCCACTTTCTGTTTGGCCCGGGATGAACGGGATGAGAGTGCCTGCATCCAACGATGTTAGCAACTGCAGCCCGAATGTGATTCTATAACCTACTGCTGTTGATCATGCAGGAATCTAGTTCGCCACTGTCCTGCATTTGTTTGAGAGCAGAACTTGCGAGGTCAATCTCAGTGCCGTGCGTATCGAGCTCGATCACAATCCCAACTGGGCGTATTAAGGTGTTAAAGCTACCGGGATTTCAGACAAGGTGCAATCAATTTGAGAAAAATGACAAACCCAGACGTTTGGATAAGAGTCAAGATGAATAGGATGATCGACGTTGCGCTCCATCTCCGTCTTCGAGGGTCGAGCACCAGGGACCGCGACGAGATCTTGACACTCGCCGTGAATGCAGCTAGGGACATGCCATCCCGATGCAGGTGAAGGGCAAGGGATCGTCGGAGACCCAACGAGAACAGACTGGCAACGCAGTAGTTCAATAGCCGTCTCAGTTCCGGAGGATTAACGTACTACGATGAACAGG